CACGTCACCTCTTCCATGTGCTGTATCTTCTGCCTTACAGAGACACTGCACACAAGGGAGGCCTCTGTCTCAGCTGCAACCAACTTCAAGAGGACTGTCTGCTACATCACAAGTAATCAGTAAGCATATATTGGAAGAAAGAACAACAGCTTAAATATACAAAAAGTAGCAGCTTAAAAGTGAAAGTATGGCCCAGCAGTGGTGGCACACATCTTTAATCCCAGCACTGGGGAAGCAGAGGCAGGCGGATCTCTGTGAGTTCGAGACCAGCCTGGTCTACAGAGCGAGTTCCAGGACAGCCTCCAAAGCTACAGAGAAACCCTGTCTCGAAAAACAAAACAAAAAAAACCAACTACAACAAGAAAATGAAAGTATGTTTTGTCCCTTTCTTCACTCTCTAGACAAAGTTTCCTTCTGCATTCCAGGCTGGCCTGGAACTTGCTGTGGAGCTCTGTCATGAAATAATGCTGCTCTATCAACAAATTCAAGTAATGCTTCTGCTTCAGCCTTCTCCTTAGTGCTGGGATTACAAGTGTGAACCATCACGCCTGGCTACAAGTGGCTACTTTGTTGGAAGAGAAAAACTTCTAGCAACTAGATACTAAAAGCACAGAACACAGTACCATATGGATTTTATCACTGCCCCCTTTAAATAAATAAAATGTATTTCTTTCTGTTTGATGTGTGTGAGTTCTCCCTAAATGAATGTGAATGCACCGTGAGCATGTCTGGTACTCACAAGAGCAGAAGAGGGTGTGCCTGCAACTAGGATGATGGACTGCTGCAAATTGCCACAAGGGTGCGTTTCGTGTGTCAACTTGACACAGGCTAGAGTCATCAGAGAAAGGAGCCTCATCTGAGGAAATGCCTCCCTGAGATCCAGCTGTAAGGCATTTTCTCAATGGTGATCAAAGTGGGAGGGCCCAGCCCATGGTGGGTGGTACCACCCCTGGGCTGCTGGTCCTGGGTTCTGTAAGAAAGCAGGCTGAGAAAGCTGTGGGAAAGCAAGCCAGTGAGCAGCTCCCCTCCATGGCCTCGGCACCAGCTCCTGCCTTCAGGATCCTGCCCTGTTCGAGCTCCTGTTTCTTCAGTGATGAAGAGCAATGCTGAAGTGTAAACCAAAAAACCCTTTCCTCCCCACCTTGCCTTTTGGTCATGGGATTCGTTGCAGTAACAGAAACCCAAACTAAAACGGAGTGCTAGGAAACAAACCCCATGACAGGGTTGTACCCCCTTCCCCTCAGTGACAGGGATTCTCTGGGTAGCCCTGGCTCTCCTGGAACTAACTCTAGATAGCCCTGGCTCTCCTGGAACTAACTCTAGACCAGGCTGGCCTTGAACTCAGAGATCTGCCAGCTTCTGCCTCCTGAGTACTGGGTTAAAGGTGTGCTCCACCATGCCCGGCTTTAGGATAAATTTTAAATTGACATTATTTATTGTGTGTATGTGGGTGCATGTGGCCAAACAGAGATGTCCGAGAACAACTTTCAGGAGCTGGCTCTTCCCTTCTTCCACTGGCTCCCGAGACTGAATGAGGCTGTTAGGATATAGGCTTATACAATGAGCTGTCTTGCTGGCTCTCGGTTGTTTGTGTTTTCATTATTACATTTTATTTAGTGTGTGTGTGTGTGTGTGTGTGTGTGTGTGTGCCCGCACGCACGCGCGTGTACATGAATAAAGCATGTGAGGACAAGGCTGGAGCCGGCTCTCTCCTTCCACCATGTGGGTCCCAGGAATCACACTAGGTCCTTAGGCTTGGCGTCAAGAGCCTGTTGAGCCGTCTCCCAGCCTCGTGTTGTTTCTTCTGTTAGAAGCTGAGGAGGCCAAGGTAGGCCTAAAACTTGCCACACAACTGCCTTGAATTCCTGGTCCTCCTGCCTCTGATTCCTAAGTACTGGAATCCACTTTCATACAAAATAATGTATTTTAAGATTTTTTTTATTATTTAATATTATAATTTGAGGTAAGATCTCATTACATAATTCTGGCTGGCCCGAACTTGCTATGTAAACCAGGCTGACCTCATATTCACAAGGTCCTCCTGTCCCTGCCTCCGGAGTGCTAAGATTAAAGGTGTGAACCACTATGTCTGGCTTTATTATTTTTAATTATGAGTATGTGTGTGATACTGTGCAGGTGACTGCCAGTGTCTAAAGAGGTCAGAAGCACTAAATCCTCTGGAACTGGAGTTTTTACAAATAATTGTGAGCTACTAAAAGTGGGTGCTGTGAATTGAACTGA